AATTCTATATCATGGGTTCTTTTAATTGCCAATCTAATTTGCTGGTTTGTGAGAATTGACATAATTTTTATCTATTTCTTTAGCAAAATGGTTTTCTATATTATTTTAAAGTGTTTGTAGATTAGAATATAACAGATTTTTTAAAATATATTTTTGAATTTTTATTTTTATTAGATGTATTTATTTATTTATTTATTTATTTATTTATTTATTTATTTATTTATTTTTTGTGTGTGTATGTAGGTCCACAATGTGTGCGCTTGTCCACAGAGGTCAGAAGAAGGTGTTAGATCCCTTGGAACTGGAGTTATAGGTGGTTGTGAACAACCATATGGTTAGCATATGGGTGCATATGGGTGCTGGTAACTAAGCCTGGGTCTCCTGCATGAGCAAATTCCCTTAACCACTGAGCCATCTCTTCAGCCCCACAGAATTGAATAGACTTTGAAGATTAAATGAAGCCTTAAGTCTTAGTGTGAAGGTCCCCAAATACCAACTCATGCTTCCTTTTGTCTTTATCCTGTTTAAAGTCTGCTTCCAGGTCTCTGTTTTCCTCTTGAGTGAGGAGGATAATGGCCACGTGCTTGTGTGCCACATTGCCATTAGCAATAATCAGCGAGAGACAAGATATCACTTTTAAGTAAGTCATATCTTCTCCGGGTTGCCTGTCACTACTACTTTCTGTTGTCTCATACCCAACTGCTTTCTTTATTTATCTCACCGCTCCAAGTAGCATTTGGGTTTTAAAGCCACAACTTACTCTTCCTTTGGTGTTTTATGCTTATAAAAGCTGAGGCCCGGCAACGTTTTGTGTCCTACCTGATGTTACACAGTCTATTTATAGCCAAACTGGATTTTAGACTCCTCTGTCCTAAATCTTAGTTTAGACCTGTTTGCATCCTACCATAGGGCCACTCATCTGAAGACTGACTCAGGTTCATTATTTTAAGCAAAATCAAACATGTTTTACAAACTGTTTATTATGCATGATGAAGAAGTGAGAGGGTTAGACTCTTTTTATAGGCAAATAATGTATAGTTCCTATGAAAAAAATTGAAGGCAAGATTTCTTAGCAGGTCCTTAGAGAGACCTGTGCATAGAACTATAGAACCTTAAAGCTGGGGTTCTAGACAAGCTCAGATGATACAATCAGATAGAAGTATGATGCTAAGATAGGTTCAAAAAAAAAGAAAAGATAAGAAATCAGCCACTGTCATAAAGTCAGTTTTCACTGACTTAAAAGAACAGTGTCATTCATATGTTTTAATCCTTACTGCTAGCCAATGCAATAGGTTCTATTGCCTATAACCCATTTCATACCCATAGGTGTCAAAGCTTGGTTCAGTTTACCAAACTGAACAACTAGTAAGCATCAGAGAGGGGACTGGTACTCAAGAGTGTCTGAACACAAAGCTACCCATGCTTGTCCCATTGCCAGCTCACCAGGAAAGCATAGGTGACTTCACAGCTCCTACAGAAAGCCCCTGCCACGATTCTGCTGCCCGTGTTATCATCACCACCAGCTGGCGTCACCGTCACCACCAGTGCTGAACATCGTTCTGATCACAGATGATCAGGGTGACTTTGCATGCCCATCACTTTTGTGTCCCTCACAAAATCCAACATGGTACCAGCTGTCCAGTAGAATCCCCGAACTCATTTAGTACAGTGGAAATCTGCCACTCTAGTCTCATTACTGCTTACGAGTACACAATACATACTTATTTTTTTCCCTCCCTTGGTCCCCAATGAACACTGATTTCTAACCAATCAGGCACAAATAAACAAGGAAATCATGTGTTCATGATTTTCTCGTCTTAATAACGCTTCTCTGTTGGTTCTGTTTGGGAGTTCCTCTGGACAGGGTAAATGGACTGTTTTTCCTTCACAAAAGAGAGACACATTGGCACCTACAGTCAAACTAAGAACCCAGGAGGCCAAAGGTGAAGCCGAGTGGGTAACAAGAAGGCTAAAGGTGAAGTGGTCCTCAGACAGGCCGGATGCTTTGCCTTGGAAGTGCTGGCAATCTCTTTGGAAAAACTTGGAGTATCTCTCTGCATTTGTCGTGTGTGAGGGGGTTGTTAGGCCACTTTTCACTGATCTACCATTTTCCAGTACTCTACCCCATTAATTTACGTGAAATTGGGGTATATCAAACTTTAGAAAGGCTGAAAACATGACCAACGTACAAAACCAAAACGCTTTACTAGAAGTCTGTGGCTATGGGGATTGGCATCGACGGGTACCTAGGAAGCACAGTTTGGCCTTTTATAGTCCCAAGGCTCTTCCCTAAGCATGGCTCACTGCTGACCCTGGGTGCCACTCAAAGACCAGACATAAGCACAAAGAATTATCAAACTTCAGTCAGTACTAGAGGCATCCAGAACATGAGAAACCAGGTTGAAACCCAGACACCTCATCCTCACAGGGTTGTCCCTGGTGTCTGTGGGGAGGGAGAGGCTAGGATCCGTGTTGTGATTGACAGTCCAGGACAGCAGGAAAGAGCCAAGTGCTATTAACACCCGCTCTGGCACTCTGATTTTCTCCTTTCCTGGGAACCATTAAAAGCTTCCAAGCACTTGGGTGGCACAAAGAGAGCTATTGTTTCAAAGAAGGTAACGCTAATGGAGAGGACTCTAACCGAAAGCTGGGGGGCGGGGCAGCTGCAGAAGCCTGGAAGTCCCTTGGGCAGGAAAAGGCCTGGGTGAAGAGGAAGGGCAGGTGCTCAGTTTGCTGGGAAGGGGACTTCCCAGGTGAAAGTGGGCATCAAGGGAGGAGGGGCAGGCCACCATCGGGCTTCTGGCCTGAATAACTGGAGGAATAAAACGTGCTTTCAGCGAAAGTACTCCTCCTACAAAAGTAGTTTGCACAGACAGGAAAATCAGCTAATTGGGCTGGGGGGGGGTGATGGGGTGTGGTGGCAGGTGCCTTTAATCCCAGCACTTGACAAGTGGAGGCAGGATGATTAGAAATTCGAGGTCATCCTTGCTAGGTTAAAGTGCCTGGAGTACATAAGACACTCTCTCAAAAATAAATAAATAAATAAATAAATAAATAAATAAATAAATAAATAAATAAATAAATAAATAAAAAGTCAAAAAGCTAAAGAAATAGGAACTTTTAGGGGGAATTTAGGAATTTTTAGGGGGAAAGGGAAATTTGGGGGTGGAGGTGGGAGTTTCATAGACAAAGCTGCCTCCATGGTATCTGCTGGACACAAACCAAGACATACACACCTACCTATAACCAGCTAAGAAAGTGTGGTGACACTCTTGAAGCTGACTGGTCTAGCTGGAGTATTCACTGGGCATTGCCACATTCGCTCTTATCACTTATAGTAGAGAACCCAGTGCCGTTAAAGGGCAACAACCCCTGTGGATATTTGCCTCCGTACAAATCAAACACTGAAGGTCCTAATCAAGCACCCTGGTAAGAACAGGCTTCTTTCTGGTTCATGACATTTGCTTTTCTCTTTGTTTTCAGTTTTTGATTTCTTATGGACTATATATGTATGTGTCAACTGTGCATCAATTTTGTTAAAATTTTAAATAATTTTTAAAAATAGAAATGCTATTTTCTCCATATGAAGGTAAATTGTGTGTTTCACCCAAGACCAAATCTCATTGGGGGAAAAAAAATTGGATATTTTTTTTCTGGCCTTATCAAATTTTTACAGTTTTTTTTTTTGTTGTTGTTGTTGTTGTTTTGAATTTCTGGAATTCCTTGCCATAAAATAGGAGTGTCTTAGGACTTGAAGGGCCTTAATTCATTAAAATGTCATAAACAAATGGCAATGTGGCCACATTTTATTCTGTTCAGTCTGAGTCTCCCATCATGAGGCTGCATCACTGGGGATTTCAGTCTATAGTTGGGAAGGAACAGGGCTGTGATGTGTGAAAACACATTTCTCCAAATTGCATTCACTAAAAGTACCACTCTAGCACTGAGAGCAACCGGGAATGCATAATCACGCTCATTGGTTATGTTTCAAAATTGGCCCTGTGAAAAACATGAAGAAAATGACATTTGCTTGGGAACTTTCTTTTCCCCAGAAAGGATATTTAAAAAGAATGTTTTGTACAACTGATCTGATAAATTTTTATTGGATCATTTTAATTTTTCTCTCCTCTCTAGCAGAGTGTGGGTTTTATTTTCTTGTTCTCTAGCACAGCCAGTCACAGCTTACCAGCCTATGTCCCCAAATACTACATGTAATTTGGGGGTACCCCATTTATTTCTCTAAGCTGACATTTTAAAAAAGAACTTCTCATCTTATGGAAGGTATGAAGAAGCATTTGGGACCATGAGCACAATATTGGATTATTATAGTGGGTGCTAGGAATGGAACACCCCATCATAGACCCCCCCCCTTTTTTTTTACAGCATCTCACTGTGTATCCAGGATGGTTTCAAACTCTAGATTCCGTTTCAGCCCTCTCAAGTACTACTAGAATTGAAGGGGTGCACCACCGCACCTACCTGGCACCATACATTTCTTATTCTACTCAAACAACAAAGAAACCAATTGCCTTCCACAAACATCAAGCAGAATTGATTCTAAATTTTTTCTTCATAGACATATGATGGATCTATAAATCCATGGTCTAGAATTCATTGCCAACCCCATGTGACGCTGGTGGCCCTTTGGTCTTCCTGTTCCAATGGCAGGTTGGTAGCAGATAGGGTTCTCAGGGCACAGGGCAGCCTGTCCACCGGACACCTCTGTCTGCAATCATGGCATGCCAGAGCCATTCATTTCCTTACTCAGTGAACGTGATACTTTTTGCCCCTTTCTTGGAGAGACAATGAGCAGGCTGCATGGGAAACAGTCCTTAGAAACAGGGTCCTGGAGCCTATGGACAAATTTTGACCCTTGATGGTTTTGCATAAGGTCAGTGTGGCCAACTCCACCCGGCTGAGGTCAGCTAAAATGAGGTAACTGAGGACGTACAGGACAGAACTACCAGCTCCTTTGTTATTTCTGGAACCTGAACTGCTTTTAGAAATAAAGGCTGGAATGTTCCATAGGAACTCGGAGCATGGGACAGAGGGGCCCAGCACACACTCTGTGTGGGCTGTTGAAAGCCAGTCCCTTGGCTTTCCTCTGTGACTCTAAATAGGTGAAATCACATTACCCTGCAGCAGCCAGTAACTATTTCCATGACACTGCCCAGCATCTGTGCTCAGTGTGCCTGGGTTCACCCGATGAAAACAAAGTAGAACGCAGTCCAGGCTCTCCGTGTCCAGCTAATGTCCACCCAGTGTCAGCCTGACAGAGACTGTGGTGACCGAGAGAAAATGCTTGAGATTTAAGGACTGATCTATTGGACTATCCCAGAAAGAAGTAGGTTCCTTGGCACATTAAATTTAAAAATAAATAAATAAAAAAGTGATAAAAACAATAAATTTTTAAAAATTTAAAAAGCATTTTAAACAAGTCATTTATTTACATGACCAATAAACAGCATAAACAGAGCTGATGACTTTCTCAGGATCAGCACAGACTTACAGACATTGCCCTACTCTCTATTAAAAAAAACCTGTCTTAAAATTCTTTTTTTTTTTTTTGACATGTTAACACTTTCTTTCGTCAAACAGATAAACCCTTAGGAGTTCTGTACTTAACTGGCAATCACTCAAAGGCATTAGCCAGGGGAAGGACATTAACAAACCCTGTTATATAATGTCAAAACACCCAATCAAGTTTGCAAATGTAATGAAACGGTCAAACCAGTTTGGGGAATTCCTGTAGACCACACAATATATTAAGTAACTTTTACCATTTTTATCTTGATATAAAAATTTAAAGCTACAGCACTTATAAAGCATGTAAGACTGCCACATCCAATGTGTCCCATCTTGAGCTTGATCTAAAGCTGCATGTGGTGGTTCACACCTTTGATCCCAGCAGTGGAAGGCAAAGGGAGGCACAGCACAAGCTGAAGGCCAGATGGACTGTATGGTAAGGTCAAAGTCGGCATGAATTACGTGAGACCCTTTCTTAAAAAAAAAAAAAAAGTTTTATATACTTAAATTCCTCTCTGATGACCTGATGACAGCACTTCAAAATATGTCTGATAACTTCCATGTTGTCGCTAATAGAACTGAGGGGAGGGGGCATTCAGTCTGCACAAGGCCTCGTGACAAAGTTCAGTGAGTGGCGGGGCGAGATTAGTAGCATGAGATTGGAACACAGGATTCTCCAATCTCAAATTCACACTGTTTGCCTGTGCACTAAATCATCTCAACAAAATGGCTAAGCAAGGAAACACATATAAATCCAGAAAGCAAATAAATAAAAACCCAGATCTTAATTACACAGTTAAGATACCTCAAATACAGTATATTGACAGCTGATTGTATCTGCCTTGGAAGTGTCTACCTGCCAACCCAAGATTGATTCTGCGTCATGGAAGATCCCTTGACCCTCATGTGATACCCCATTAAGAACCAGATTCCCATTGCCAAACATTTCACATCAGAACAAATTATACATATTTCATTACGCCTATGAGGAGATCTGATTTCCTAGTCCAATGCTATTTTTGAATATTTTCAGGCATGGGCTGAATATGTGGTTCCCTTGTGGCCAACTCAAAACACAGAGCATGGAGTATTTGGTATATTAATATCATCATTCCCTCACTGTGAGGAGACCAGTTATAAATTAGATGAGATTAGAAAGCAGGCTCCTGAGAATTGGTATTTTAAGGAATTACCTAGAAAGAACCAAGGGTGTTTTTTTTTCCCTTCCTCTTTCTCCCCACATGGTAAATCATACAGAGGAGCAGCCTGCCCCAGATCCCCAAGAGACAACATCTTGAGCGCATATGTTATGCTGGGCTCTGCATTGACAGATCCAAGAACTCCAGCGCAAAATCACCAAAGTTCCCAAGTTAAAAATGAAAGTAAGATCATCAAAATTGGTATTCTTATTGCGACATTCCCAGCAACTTCATAAACAGCCATGAAAGTGGACAGCACCGCAGGTTAGTGAATTTACCCACGCAAGGATCAACCTGCATTGTGGGTGTGAAGTTGCAAACAATCCCATCTACCTCCCACCTTACCAATATCCTCACTCTTTTCAGAAACATCGTCACATTCAGCAGAAATAATGTTTAGCTTATTTTACGAGAAGGCTTATCTAAATATATGCCATATTAAAAATAGTCATGATATAAATATTTCTCACAAGAGCTGCAGCGATGGTGTGAATAAAAAACTCCCTTCTGAGATTTCAGTAAAACCAGATCTCACAAAGGATCTGAAAGAAAACAAAACACACACACGAAAACAAACAGACACACACACAAAGAGACACACACACACAGAGAACAGACCTCATGTTAATCTGATTTACCGTAACAGTTGCTATTCCCACACTATCTTATAAAGTATGATTCTGTCCCTTCCCAGATGAAGCAAGAGAGAGACGAGCTGTTCCAGGTACCACAGAATAATGTCCAGGGTCGGGGCTACCTAAGCATGGTCAGTAGCAGCTTACTGAAATCACAAATTTCAAATACAGCAAAATGTTAGTGCTGACAAATGGCCAAGCATGCAGGGGGATTCTCCCTCCCTCCTTCTCTCTCTCTCTTGCTCCATGCCCCTCTCAGAATACATACAAACCCCCAAATCCACCAGCTGGAATTTTTTAAATTGTAAATTAGATATCAAAATGCTTACGGGCCTTACAGTGAGATAACATCAGGAGGAACGGTGCGTGGAATGGATCTGGCATTCTCACAGAGAGCGTTATCTTTGGTACAAGTACACACGGCAGGGCATTTTGGCTTCGCTGGTTTCTTCCCCTCAGTCAGCAAAACCACGGAAAAGAGGCAGAGGAAACAGGCAATTCTTCTCAGGGGGATGCAGGCATTTCCCATTCTTCTGCTTCTTTCCGATTCCATGTAGTCGAGAAAATATCCCCACACATGAACAGGGCTTCTGGAATTCAGCTGCTGATTGTCTTGCTCTGAACAGGTCACACAGGAGTCCACCCTCCTCTGCCTCTGTATCTGCTTTTTCAAAACAGGGACCTCAGGCTGCTTCGTGAGCTGTTCCTCGCTCAGGCAGTGCACTGCTCGGGGGAAGAGACCTGTGAGGTGCTGTGAGATGGGAGCGAGCCAACTGCCGGAGGAAGAGAGCCGACTCACATCACAGAAAACAGTGAGCACAGACCAGTCTTCGAAGGCAAGCGAAGTGATGTAACAGAAAATAAACAGCTTTCTGCTTTCACCAGGAGGCCCTTTAATTGTTACCAAAAATAGGACGGCATTATGTCTTATTAGTGGGTGGGCGGGCGGTGGAGCAGTCATCTCAGCATAGGATGTGGGCAATCTCGGGAACCTCTGGGAATTTGCTTTTCATGTAGCAAACAACCTAGTAAGAAAAGCTAGCTTGGGGGGCCAGTCTTGGCTGGGAAAATGAAGTTAAATGAAACTCTGTCTGCAGCTAAAGCCGGGCTATGCCTTGCAGAGTCCACCTGGTTGATGCCACTGTTTGAAAGATAAACCCGAACACACGGAGAATGCATGTGAGTGAACACTTTTCTGACACTTATCACTATTGTGAATTATTGTATTTTCATAATCCCCCCACCACCATACACAGCCCATTTCTCCTTCCACGGTGAGGGAGGTGACAGAATTGTAAACCATCTCTGTGTATAATCCACTCTCCTCCCTTCTTGCTCTCGCCCTTAGGCAGAGTACATTCCAAAAGGCTGGACCGAACTCCCTGCCAGCAGGAGGCAGCCAACTCCAGCTTCCTGGGGCTTTGAAAAAGGGCCTGACTCAGCCAGCAGGCTGGGATAAAGTCGGGTAAATGCGGGAGTAAGCAGGAAGCCAGGCTTTGAGATCTCAGGTCATTTGGAAACCAGCTGATTTTACAGACAGGGAAGCTATCACATCTAGAATGGGGATGATAGGATAGATAGTCTTGTCACCACTGTGAGAATCAAATAAAAACCGCAGGCTTTTATTGCCATGTGTCATAGGAAAGAGGACAGTCCCTCGGAAAAGGAAATTTGTTTAATGGCAAGATCAAGATGACCTGGCCTTGATGTGGGGTTGTCCAGTCCAAGGGAGTGATAGTAGAAAAGAAGGTCTTTACCATGCTGGTGGCAGCCATCCCTCAAGGTGGCACAGCCACCTAGCATGTCAGGCATGGCCCTTCTTCTTCTTGCTTCTTAAATCGAACATATGAAAAGGATTGCTCGTGTGCCTGTACCATTGGGAAACAAACCCACCCTTACCAAAGGTCCATGCGTTGCCGTTCTCCTCCATCTTGTAGCTGACCCTAGGCTAGCTCCAAGCACTCCCTTTGTTTGTAGTCTGTGCTGGTTTTGAACTTCCTCTCATCTGTCTCTGCCTCCAAAGTTGTGGGCTTCCAGGTAAGTGCCACAACCCTGGGCTCAATTGCCCCTTCAACTCGACTGGCTTTGTGAGAAGAGGGTGGTGGCACACTCTTTTATTGGATTGCTGGCGTGACGGTGATGATGATTCCAGAGGATCGGAAGCTCCGTGGAAGTCGAAAACTTCCATTACAAAACCAGGGCCTGCATTCACCATGCACATGGCGGACATCCAGCGTGCCTGTAGGAGCAACATCAGAATGCATGGTGTAGTCACAGTAAACATATATTCACCTTCAAATATAACACTTCAAAGAGTGTTAGAATAAAAGGGATTGCATTGGTCAAAGAAGTCAGGGCACAGTTTCCTGAAGAAACAATGAATGAGCTGAGCTCCAAAGACAGGAGGGAGGAGGGGACGGCATGTACAAAGCCTGGGGTGCTCTGAACAGCCAGAGGATGCTTATGCAGTTTGAAGCAGTAACTTTTTTTTTTCTGGTGCATGTTTCAAAAAGACCATCTCAGAGAAGTCTGACTTTAAAATAGACTGTGGAAAAGAATACAAAAGACTGTTCTTAGAAACCCAAACCTGTGGGCAAGCCTCAATTAAACAGTAAATGTGTCACTTAAAAGTTGGCCACAAGTTGAATTTTTTTTTAATTGAATTCTTCTTCAAGTGCATGATGGGATCTCTGTCTATAATGTGATTACACTGTGAAAATCTTATGCAGGCTCATTTTATCCAAATAACTGCTCTCTTAATTCTCTAATTTCTAATAAATTTTGTAACTACAAAACAATGCTCTCAAAAGATTTCAGAGACCTTGGATGGAATTCCTTGCATATTGGTGGGAACACTGAGGTACTGAGCCACCATACAGATATGTACTGACAGAGCCACCACCCCGTATGGGGCAAAAGAGCGGCAAATGTTTGGTTCAAACAATCAATGTAGTCAAACAGGATATTTGCTCTCTAGGATGCGCTCTCAGACACAACCGATTATCAAGACTGACAAGCCCTTGGCTTGGGGCTTCTGGACAGCCACACGGTCTTTCTTTTTTGGTGTGGTAAAGCCAGAAGGATGATGAATGAGAGAGAAACTATATCCCTACCATTGGCTTGCAGCTGCCCAGCTCAGTTTGTCAGTTCAAGAAGAGGAAAAAAAAAAACCATTGGGCTGGGGGGGGGGAGAGTTGGGGGGGACACTGAGGGTAGTTTACAATGGGCGTTTTGAAAAGACAGTAACTTTTTTCTTTTTGTATGGCATTTAAAGCCCAGACTTGAATTCCTTATTCAATTAAAACGCCCACCAAGATCAGGCATAGTTTAAACCATGCCATGCAGGATGCTTCCCAGCCTTTCTGGGAATAAGCTCCAGAAATGAATCTGAGGAAGGGCTTAGGAAATCTTGAGAGACTTGAGGTCAGACAAGAGACCATACTGCTGGTGATGCCTCCAGTCTTACTTTCTGGGGATGTAAGAGTGAATGCAGAGCGGATGTAAGAAGTGGAAATGCAGTGCTGCAAAGATTGGCAACCTACCTGTGGACTGGGGTGGCCTTTGGGAGAGGGGCCTAGAAAAGACGAAGGCGGAGCTGGGGGGAGGCCCAGGGGAGCTGGAAGGCCCATTTGTAAGAGGCTCGGGGCCCATCGGAGCTGCAGAGGAGCAACTGAGAAGAAGCCGAGGCTGGCTCTGCAACGGCACAGTAGCGTGACCGTGGACCTACTTAACCCAAGTCACAGCTTTCTCCTTGTCGATGGGGACAAGCACAGCACAGCACAGAGAGGTAACTGAGAGAACTGAATGAGATCACGTATCTAAATGCTTGGTGTTGATCTGATACATAAGAAAGATTCATCATCATCATCATCGAAACATGATGTAACTTCTGATCATGTGACTCCCAGTCCTTGGGAAGCAAAGTTTCCACGTAAATATGAGGTCAGGTTGATGGTTATAGCCCCTCTAGGAAGCTGACACTTCTCTTAGATGGTGGGTTCTGGCAGGCTCTGAAGGAATGAAAATGAACCAAATGAACCAAAAAAGAACCCATCAGTCTGATGAGAGCAACCTAATAGTTGACCTAGACATGGTCCAGACTTGAGAAAGAGAAGGTTACAGAGAGAGGGTAAGGGTTCTCCTTAACCCATGTTCTTGAGCACGTGTGAGCTGAAGAAGGTGAGAGGACTCTGTTCTGAGGTCCCTGTACCACGGGGTCTCCTCTAGTTAGAAACACCGCGGTGGTGGATGTGAATGCTTAGAACAACCACACTGAATGGAGGTGCCAGGCTGCTGCAGAGATATAAGGCAAATCACATCCTTATCCGAGGCTAAGGCTAAGGTGTCACCAGTCAGTGGATTCTTCTGTACAGGAGTGGCTAGCTCAGCCTTGGTGACCCAAGCCCCACAGCCATTGGAGAAACTGGCAAATCATCCCAGCTGAGACGCAGAGCCAAAGAGAAGGTCACCCCAAAAGGTTCTCGAGCACGGGTACAGCCTTCCCCGGCCATCCTCAGAATGACTGAAGAGGGTCCCAGGAGTGTGCTGGCCATCTAGAAGAGTGGATGAAAACAGAGGAGAGAGGAACAGCCTGTGCTGTGGGTATGAGCCCAATTTTCCCCTCAGGCTGGCGTGGCCTAGGAAACCCCACATTAACTGTGGTAAACAGATCATTAGGAACCTTAAAGAATCAGGCCTGGCCCCACCTCCTTCTGCAAACACTGGACAAGCAAACCAGTGTCCTTTTAAGCAGCTTTCTTGCTAGATCAGGGGTTTTGAAGCTGAGAGTCAGATGCAGTAGTTAGCTACGAAATCAACCTGATGGGTACAACCAGATCATGAAAGTACATCATTCTGAAAACAAATTGTAGTGAGTTGCTCTCATAACAATCACCTTGGGACACCTTTGACACCACTCAGTCTGCCTGTGTGTGTGAGTCCCTCGTGCTGACATGAATTTTGTTTCTTATAAGTGACTTACAACTGGAGAAAAGAAAGAGTCGGGGGAAGGGAGGAGGGGGAAAGAAAGAGGGAAGGAGACAAACCCCCAAAACACTGTATCAGAATATGCTAAGGATCTCTGACCACCCCAGGAGTCTGAGGCAGCCAGGACACGATCCAATAAGCTTCAGTTGCTGATGGAAGGCAGAAATTGGACCTGATGAAATACTGTTTCTAATATTGACTAGCTCTGCAGCCTGGAACACACTGTTTAGCTTCTCTGTGCCTCATTTTCCACACTGACAAGAACAAAGTAATGCTGTGTTTGCATTATTAATATTAAGATGAAGTGCAATGGGTGTGGGGTGTGTGTGTGACGAAGGCATGGTTCTGTCAGAATGACGTAGGAAGTGGGGGTGGGGAGGGTGGCCAGTGGAGGGCCGGATCTCTGGGGGGATTTAGGAGTAGTACCATTTAGGACTCTTTGGTAGCAAGTGACAGACTCAGTTGCCACCTCTGCCAACCAAAGCAAACAGGAACCTGTTTCCATGGTGATAGAGAGCCTCTAGAATTCAAGAAAGGGTTGGCCAAGCAGGTTTTGAGAGCTTAGGACCCTGGTGGTACTCTCAAGTGAGTTCTTATCCTTATGCATCCCCTCAGAGGAGAAGGTCTGAAGGCTGAGCTAGGGTCAGGTGCCCATCATCCATTTGTCAGGTAAGAAGCAAGGATCTTGACTGGCATTCCCATGGAGATGTGTGATGGGATAGGGATGGTTTCTGAAGGAAATCTTGGTGCTGCTTCTAGAGGCAGAGGAATGGGCACCGGCAGGCAAAGCCACGGGGCATGTACCATGG